TAAGTGAAGAAATTGCTAAATTTCAGTTGTGGGTTTGTGAAAATAACGATGTAATTTTTTTCACCACAACGGTTCATGGACCCTATGAATTCCATCCATGAAGGCCTTAGAAGCCCATGAGTCCCAGGTTAAAACTCCCTGAGATATTATGGTTTTGAGAAACAGCTGTATAAAAAAATTTAAAAATTGAATAGTGATCAACAAAAGGAAACATCAAGGAATTAATAGAAAGGAATTAAAATTAAGGAATATGTTTAAAGAAAGAATGTCATTAGCGATGATTTAAAATTTAAATTCAAAAGGTAATATTTTTTTAAGAACTCAAATCAGGAGTCATAACCCTAGAAGCTTCTGTTATGAAAGCTGGTAAACAGAACTCTAGGAAGAAGACCGATTAAGCAGTTTCTAGAAATGATGGTTAACTTTTCTTCCTGGGCTACTTTGTTAGTTGTTAATTTCTGCAGATATGAAGAGATACTGTTCTCACAGTTTGATTTAGGTTGCTTCTTCCCAGCTTTATATCTAAGAAGGCTTAGGACTTCTGGCTTAGCTCACAGTAGGGTTCATGAATGTATGCTTGGGTTTTACAATAAATATTTTTCCTCATCAAAAGTGGAAGACCATTTATTTGAGAGACACTGGATTGACTAGTTGACATTTAAAATGGGTGGGGCAGAAAAACCCATAAATAATATAATCAACGGTAGATATCAGCACAACACTTTATTATTTAAAAACTACTTTCAGGGCCGGCCCGGTGGCGCACTGCACTAGTGCGCCGCTTGGGAAGTGCGGCAGCGCTCCAGCCGAGGGTTCGGATCCCACATACAGACTGGTTCCCACTCACTGGCTGAGTGAGGTGCGGGGGCAACGCCGAGGCTTGCGATCCCATTGCCGGTCCCGGTCTGGTACGGGGGCGACACTGAGGGTTGCGATCCGTTGCCGGACACGGAAAAAAAGACAAAAAACAAAAAAACAAAAAACTACTTTCACATTTATTGCTTCTTAAAATTCTCAGAATTACTTGCTGATGTTCTATGATATGCCATGAAATATGGTGCCTTGAAAAACTATGGCTCCCTTCCT